TACCGAAATTTCTTCTGCAATAACTTCTTGAAAGCGTTTGTGCATCATCGATCAATCACTACTAAGGTGTCCTACCATTTCAGCACAAGACTGGTGCAGCCCCGTCTCGACTGATTTAACTAGGGCCACCTTTTTGACGACGATTGCGGGCATCACTTCAAAGACTTCACTGTCTTTTGAGAAAACTGTGAAAAACCGATGAGCATTTTAAATGGTAGTATTCCCTCCAACAAATGCAATGTTGGTTTGGTGGGCGGAAGTTGTAGCTCTCAGCAAGAATTTTGAAGCATTTGGTACACACATGCGAATTTGCACACTGGACCCAGGAATTTTCAAAAAAAGTATAAAAATTGGGGAAAGTTAAATTGTGAACCAACAATAGAAAACAATAAGCAACATATTTCGCAGTATTAATGAGCAAAAAGGACTTTCTGAGATATTGATTTTCCATAGTAATCGGCCCCAAAACTTCCTGAACTCAGAAAAGCGACACTAAGATATCCGGTACCTAATATTACTAATACCGTAACCTGCAATGGGTCAGCATGAGCTTAAAAAGCGCTCTGGAAGACAGCTGAATATCGCAGAGATCTCGACACGAAGTCATCATGGTAGGTACGGGTAACAGGTACGGGTTCAGGTCTCGGCTAGGACGAGAGTTTTGTCCATAAGCCAGCACTCTTACTAAAAGAGTTTTCTTGAAAACTGTGAAAAATAGCTGGCTAAGCTGGCTAAGACCCCCACAGGTGCCAACTTCTGCGGGTTTGAAGCCTAACATCAAGAAATGAAGCTCCTAACGACTTCCCCTTCCCTAGCCTCGCCTACTTCAGTAAGTCATGCCTTGACATTCTTGCAAAAGAGAGCAGACGAATAACACTTCATTACACGGCAGTCTTCAGGGTAAATGGAAAAAACTTGGAAGTTAGGTTTACTGTTTATTGTCAGTTGTTAATTGTTTATTATTTGAAATTTGCAGAAGGCAAACGCAAGGTATAACATAGAAGAAGACTTGTCAGCCCGAAGCAAAAAGCAAAAACCTCCGCAGACCCATTCGGGAGGCTCCCATATGGGTGTTCAGAAGTCTTTCCAGCCATTGTTCACCCTGCATGATTTAGTGGCAGGTGGTGCTACTTGCAAGGCTCACGGAGACCAAAATTCGACCGTACGTCACTCGGGCCAGCCAAGCCTTCCACTTCTCCGGGGTTTGTCGATTGGTACCATCCTTGTTTCAAAAAATAAAAGGTAACTTTCACCTCGGGTAGCCCCGTAGTTTGTTGAAAGGGTGAAATCGCCTTTCGAATGCCACTTTAAATCTGAATAGAAGTACAATGCGTGGCACATTCCAAACGGCACATTGGCCCGCTCAAACCATCCAAACGGGGGTCGCAACAAGCCTAGTCCTCTTTGGGGAATGTGCGAACGCGTGGCTTCCCTTCACTAGACATAAATATCCCCATATTTAGCCCCATATATGAGGAAGAAGTGGGGTGGGACTGAAGCGTGCTGACCATGGCAGTTGGGGTGCCAAGGGGGTCTGATGGAGGACCCCTTGAAGTTGAAGACAGGGTCAACCGTCACGTTGGACCGATTTCAAAATTTTTACGACCCCCCCTCTTGGAGAGTCTCCATACGACCCCCCCCGCACTTATTATGTACTGTACACTGCTAAG